GTTGGAGGTGGGGCCTGGTGGGAGGTGACTAGATCATGAGGGTGGATTTCCCCCTTTGGTGCTGTTCTCATGTTAGGGTTCTCACAAGATCAGGTTGTTTAAAAGTGTGTGGCACTTCCCACCTCTCCTCTTCCTCCTGCTTTTGGCTATGCGAAGAAGTGCCAGCTTCCCCTTTGCCTTCCAGCATGATGGTAGGTTTCCTGAGGCCTCCCGAGAAACTGAGGAGATGCTGCCACACTTCCTATACAGCCTGCAGAACAATGAACCAATTAAACCTCTTCTTTGTAAATTACCAAGTTCTTTATAGCAGAATGAGAATGGATTAATACAAAAAATTGGTACTGAGAAGTGAGGCATTGCTATAAAGATACCTGAATATGTGGAAGTGGCTTTGGAACTGGGCAGTGGGCAGAGGCTGGAAGAGTGCAAAGGGCTCAGAAGAAGACAGGAAGATGAGGGAAAATCTGGAATTTCCTAGAGATTTGTTAAAATGTTGTGACCAAAATGCTGATAGTAACATGGACAATGAAGTCCAGGTTGAGGAGGTCTCCAACAGAGATGAAGAACTCATTGGGAACTGGAGCAAAAGTCACTTTTGTTATGCATTAGCAAAGCACCTGGCTGCATTGCCCCCTGCCCTAGGGATCTGTGAAACTTTGACCTTGACAATGATTTAGCTTATCTGGCAGAAGAAATTTCTAAGCAGAAAAGTGTTCAAGACATGGCCTGGCTGCTTCTGATACCTATGTTCATATGTGAGCAAAGAAATGATATGAAACTGGAACTTATATTTAAAGGGAAGCAGAGCATAAAAGTTTGGAAAACTTGTAGCCCAGCCATGTGGTCGAAAAGAAAAGCCCATATTCAGGGGAGAAATTCAAGCAGTTGCAGAAATTTGCATAACTAAAAGGAAAGTGAGTGCTGATAGCCAAGGCAATGGAGGAAACACCTCAAAGGCATTTCAGAGAACTTTGTGGCAGCCTCTCCCATCACAGGCCTAGAGACCTAGGAGGGAAAAATGGTTTCCTGGGCCAGACCAGGGCCCAGCAGTGTGCAGCCTTAAAATACTGCTTTTTGCATCCCAGTCTTCAGCTCTAGCTGTGGCTTAAAGGGGCCCAGCTACAGTTCACGTCACTGCTTAAGAAGGTTCAAACCATAAGCCTAGGCAGCTTCCATGTCCTGTTAAGCCTCAGGGTACACAGAGTATAAGAGCTGAGACTTGGGAGCCTCTGCCTGAATTTCAGAGAATAAATGGAATAGCCTGGATGTATAGGCAGAAGTCTGCTGCAGGGGCAGAGCCCTCATGGAGAACTTCTACTAGGGCAGTGTAGAAGAAAAAAGGTGAGGCTGGAGCTACCACACAGAATTCCTACTGGGGCACTGCCTAGTGGAGCTGTGAGATGAAGGCCACCATCCTCCAGACCCCAAAATGGTAGATCCACCAGCAGCTTGCACCCTGCACCTGGAAAAGATGCAGGCATTCAATGTCAGGTCAGGAGAGCAGTCACAGGGACTAAACCCTGCAAAGTCACAGGGTGGAGCTGCCCAAGGATTTAGGAGCCCACCTCTTGTACCAACGTGCCCTAGATGTGAAACATGGAGCCAAAAGAGATTATTTTGGAGCTAAGATGCAATGATTGCCCTGCTGGATTTTGGACTTGCATGGGGCCTGTAGCCTGTTTCTTTTGACCAATTTTTCCATTTGGGGATAAGAATATCTACCCAATGCTCATACCTCCATTATATCTTGAAAGTAACCAACTTGGTTTTGATGTTACAGGTTCATAAGGGGAAGGGGCCATCCTTGTCTCGGATGAGACATTGGACTCTGTACTTTTTAGTGAATGCTGGAGTAAGATTTTGAAGGACTATCAGGAAGAAATGCTTGTATTTCGAATGTGAGAAGGACATGAGATTCGGGAGGGACTGTAGCAGAACGACATGGTTTGGATCTGTGTCCCCACCTAAATCTCATGTTGAATTGTAATCCCCAGTGTCGGAGATGGCGCCTGGTCGGAGGTGACTGGATTAAGGGAACATATTTCTCTTCTTGGTGCTGTTCTCATGATAGTGAGCTTTCAGGAATTCTGGTTTAAGTGTGTGGCACCACCTCTGTCTTTTCTTCCTGCTCTTGGTCATATGAAGTGCTCACTTCCTCTTTGCCTCTCACCATAATTGTAAGTTTCCTGAGGCCTCCCTAGAAGCCAAGGAGAAGCTGCCATGCTTCCTACACAGCCTGCAGAACTGTGAGCCACTTAAACTTCTTTTCTTCATAAATCACCCAGTCTCAGGTATTTCTTTATAGCAGTGCAAGAACGGACTAATACAACATTTGATGATGAATACTTTATATACATGTAGGTATCTTTCAAATGTAAGATGTTTTTTCCCTTAGGGCATGACCAGTAAGTCTAATACAAGCTGTGATTGGCCATCACTAGGTCTACATTAAGGGTGCTACATTGAATGCTTCAACAGGCTTGATGATGCAAAGAGAAATAGAGCATAGATGTGGCTAAGTAATCATTTCTTTGTATGATGAGAATTGGGTAAGCATATGTCCTGGTTTGCTCAGGGCAGTCCCACTTTGTATCTGTTTTGTAACATATTAATGATGTCCCCTTTTATTTTCAAAAATGTCCTGGTAAGAGTGGGCCTTCTCCCCATTCATCCCACCTAGCTCAAAACAGTATGAAAAAGAGCAAGCCCAAAATTCTGGGCTCCTCAAACCCAGATGAGATCTCACTCCTCAAGAGCTAGTAAAACTATTAACCTCTGGACCATCTTATCAAGTAGATATATCCACTTTCTTGCATCTTTGATCATATATATGTATATATTGAGACAGAGTCTTGCACTGTCACCCAGGCTGGAGTGCAGGGGTGTGATCTTGGTTCACTGCAACCTCTGCCTCCTGGGTTCAAGAGATTCTCCTGTCTCAGTTCCCCGAGTACCTGGGATTACAGGTGCCCAGCACTATGCCTGGCTAATTTTTCATATTTTTAGTAGAAACAGAGTTTCACGATTTGGCCAGGCCAGTCTCGAACTCTTAACCTTGTGATTCACCCACCTTGGCCTCCCAAAGTGCTAGGATTAAAGGTGTGAGCCACTGCATTCAGCCAATCTTCTATGTCTTTGATCTTATACATACAAACAGGGCATATACAAAATACTGTCCTGTTTGTTAGGTGGTTCCATCGTAAACTAAAGTGAGAGCATTTACTGAGGCCAGGTCATATTCTCACCAGCTCTCAAACAAGGGCTTGGCTTTGTGGTCTAAAATCTAACATATCTTGGCAGCAGAACTTTTATTATTTTTTTTTAGAGGCAGGGTCTTGCCCTGTCACCCAGGCTGGATGATCATAGCTAACTGTAACCTCAAAAGCTTAGCAATTCTCCTACCTCAGCCTCCCAAATTGAGATTGCAGGCATGAGCTACCACGCCTGGCTGACTTCTACATTTTAATGCTCTCGAAATATAAAATATAGAGCAAAACCAGCATCCATGTTTTAGTTTCTAAAACCATAGTTTGATTAAAATAACCAGAGGTACTGAAAGTAATGGGCTTCTAGGACTGTGACATGAAACATCAGCTAACTCATCAAGCTGGTGAGAATCTGAGCGCCACACATGGGCTGCGGGAGGAAGCTGTCCTGGGCTCCTCGCATCAGTATGCTACCTAGCAGGAAACAAAGAGGAAAGTGGATTCACACAGACCTGCAGAAATGCACACAGGGTGTGAAGAGGGTTTAAATCTCCAATATGGAGGACTACAATGTCTTGATCTATTTCCAGGCCATCTATTCTATTCCAGTGGCCTATTTGCTTACTTCTAAACAAATGCGATTACAATGTGGTGGCTTTATAGTATAAAAGAGTTTAATAAACAGGTTTATGTATGTAAATTGAACAGAGATCATCTAATGCAATAACTTGTATTAACAGGTTAACTCAGTCTTACAGAACTCAGAATAAAACTCATCTTTCTTTCCAACTCTGTGTATGTATTTGAACTTTTAATTGTACTTTAAGTTCTGGTATACATGTGCAGAACGTGCAGGTTTGCCACATAGGTATACATTTGCTGTGATGGTTTGCTGCACCCATCAATCTGTCATCTACATTAAGCATTTCTCCTAATGCTATCCCTCCCCTAATCCCCCACTCCCTGACAGGCCCCGGTGTGTAATGTTCCCCTCGTGTCCATGTGTTCTCATTGTTCAACTATCACTTATGAGGGAGAATATACAGTGTCTGGTTTTCTGTTGATGTATTAGTTTGCTAAGAATGATGGTTTCTACCTTCATCCATTTCCTTGCAAATGACATGAACTCACCCTTTTTCATGGCTGCATAGTATTCCATGGTGCATATGTGCCACATTTTCTTTATCCAGTCGATCATTAATGGGCATTTGGGTTGGTTCCAAGTCTTTGCTATTGTGAACAGTGCTGCAATAAACATACATGTGCATGTGTCTTTATAGGAGAATGATTTATAACCCTTTGGCTATATACCTAGTTATGGAATTGCCAGGTCAAATGGTATCTCTGGCTGTATTTGAACTTTCTACAACTATTAATAACAGAAACAAGCGAATGTCAGACTAATACTGTGTAAAGGAGCAATGGTAAATCTTAATCTGATTACAAATGTTTGAAAAAAGAAGCCTCACTCTTATGATTGCCGTTATAATAAGTGATGGCTATAAAATTAAACTTGTAAAGTTATTTTAATCAAATATTACTTTTCTGATTGATATATATATTTATATATATATATATATATATATATATATTACTCCATATGATTGTTTATAAAATGGGTGCCATCCAGTACAAGTTTTTAAACTATTGTTCTAACACATAAATTTGTGCTGCCTCCAATAGCAATGATTCAACTGTTAATCTGGTTATATAAATCACATTATCACCATGTACACTCTTTAAAGTGTCTAGTTCACACATTCATGAAGCTGTGCATTGATTACCACTACCCAATTCCTGTTTGATTTTTTTTATTATTTAAAAAAATGGAAAAGCAAAAGTACATTTTTCATTCAATACATGTTTCATTCTTATGTGGTTTTGTTGCAGAAAGTGAAGTCCATGACTTTAGAATGATAGCAGTTTACCAACCAAATAATCAGTCTTCACACAGTTTCAATAACTGCAGCAATTTCCTTGAATTGTCTGTAGAAATTCTGGAGAGAAAGGGGGAAAATAATATTAATTTTGCTTTTAGAAGATACTTAAGTAGTTATTTTAATGATATCTGACTACCAGAGACTATGTAACATATTGTTTGCATTTTAATGTTACATCTCAATTACTGAAGGTTGCAATAAGAAATAAACAGGTGCAATTTGGTACTGTAAGCAAAAATACTACTGTAGAGTTGGATAATTATCTCATGACTAAACTTTTAATAAAAAGCACATGAGAAAGTCCTTTTAAGATCACACCAGAGGCTAGGCGCAGTGGCTCATGCCTGTAATCCCAGCACTTTGGGAGGGCAAGGCAGAAAAATCACAAGGTCAAGAGTTCAAGACCAGACTAGCCAACACGATGAAACCCCGTCTCTACTAAAAAATACAAAAATTAGCTGGGCATGGTGGCTCATGCTAATAATCCCAGCTACTTGGGAGGCTAAGGTAGGAGAACTGCTTGAACTGGGACCTGGGAGGTAGAGGTTGCAGTGAGCCGAGATCAGGCCACTGCACTCCAGCCTGGGCTACAGAGCAAGACTCCATCTCAAAACAAAACAAAACAAAAAACAAATCACACCAGGTTTATTAAATATCCATCACTGTCCTAGACACTGAAAATAAAAATAACAGGTTGGTTCCAGGCCTCAAAACACTAAATCTAGTAAAAGACTGCATTTCAGTGTGGTAGGGACTGTCTCATTTAAGATTATGGGTTCAATTACCAGAAGAAAGATCCAACATTAACAATGGCTTATATGATAGAAGTTTGTTTCTCTGTCATTTAAAAATTATGCTGGTATAATGGTTCTCCTATAGAAGTCATCTGCTTCTAAATCTCAGGTAAGAAAGGAATCAAGCAAATTGTTCTCCTGTCTTCTCTTGTACCTGCCAGGAAGCTAGGAGGCAAATCTGAAACTTAACCTTAGCAATCAGGATACTGTCTAATAATTTACACATCTACACTTTCCTTCTTATTTGGTCTTAATTTCTATTTTGCTACTTAAGAGGATATATATTGTTTTCATTTATATTTGTCACAGAATGAAGCAAAGTGTACTTATTTCTTTAAAAATATGTATTGATGTTCAAAATTTTAGTTATCAACAAGATATAAATTAAAAGCTCAAAGAATGTTCCTTAGCTCACAGTCATGTAATGTGATTAATAGGCTATCTTGCGAAGTTTTAAGCCATGTAAGAACTATCTTTAAAAGAGTTGCCTCCAATGAAAATATTTTTTGTGTATATTTATATTTAATATGTTTATAATGTATGCATACATTGTATGTATATACTATATATTTGTATACATACACCCACAATGGAATATCACACAGCCATAAAAAAGGAAATCCAGCCATTTGCAACATGGATGAACCTGGAGGACATTATGCAAAGTGAAGTAAGTCAGACACAGAAAGGCAAATGCTGCATGATCTCATATGGGGAATCTAAAAAAGTCAAACTCACAGAAGCAGAGAGAAGAGTGGAGGTTGCCTGGAGCTGAGTTTGGGGTTAATGGTGAAATGTTAGTAAAAAGGTACAAACCTTTGGTTATAAAATGAGTAAGTCTGAGATCTAATGTACAATATGGTAGCAGTAATTAATAATATTGTATTGTTTACTTGAAACTTGCTTTTAAAAAAAGTAGATTTTACATGCCCTCACCACACACACATACACACCAAAAAAAAAAAAAAAAAAAGGTGGTCATCATTACACAATGTATATGTTTATTAAATCATCACATTGTGATACCTTCAAAATACGCAATTTTAATTTGTTAACCGTCCCTCAATAAAGCCGGGGGAAAAAAGTTAATCCATTTGTGATTTTTTTTCTATAGGAAAAAATGTTTAGAGGTGGAATTTAGAGAGCTGCAAAGAATAAGAAGAACTGGGCCAGCACCCATGAATTACAGAAAAGACCAAAATGTATATTCTCTTTTCAAATTGACTGAGTTCTTGTATTTAGTTGAATGTTATTCCCATATCACAATATACATTTATTTCCTTTTTACTAAGTCTCAGTCCTTCTAAGACACTAATAATAATGTTAAATTTGTGACCATTATTTTTGTTTCAAAGCAGTGATAGCTATTGTAAAGAAAAAAAAGTGGGCTGAGCATGGTGGCTCACACTTGTAATCCCAGCACTTTGAGAGGCTGAGGCAGGTGGATCAACTGAGGTCAGGAGTTTGAGACCAGCCTGGCCAACATGGTG